GTTTTCAGTATCAAGATCTTGCTGTCGTTTCTCCAGGGAAGCAATATTCTTTGTAATGTTGTTTAACTGATCCTGAAAGATAGATAGATGTGATAGATGCTTTATTTAAAATCTACTTATGCAGCCAAAGGGCTGAATTGCATAAATACAGAAAATTTACAAATAACTTATACTTAAATGATATTACTTATTATCAAACTCATTAATAATTCATGAGAAAAGCACAACAGAAATCACGACTGTGAAGAGTGTTGGATTTTCTTAGCCAGATTCACTTTAATTTGAAAATTTTAGTGAAACACAAAGGAACTAACCTAGACGTTTGACAAGCAATCTACAGTATTTGTGTCAGTGTTGTATCTGATATACAAACGCTCGGCTATGCCTCGAGTTTGTATATCTGATACAACATGGCCACTCATACTGTATATATTACTTATACTTAAATGTTTGATTATATAAGTAATATTTACACTTAATAAAATTAATTAAATTTATTGTAATTTAGTGTGCCTGCAATCATGAGGCTGTTCTTATATCTATTGGTTTTACACACAGGAACAGTATAACGTCTTTGATATATCTTGAATGAAATAATGTAAGGAATGTTGTGTACTTGTGGCTAGAGATATTGAATTCATAATGTACCTTGAGTCTTTTTATTTCTGCTTCATTGGACTGTCTTGCTGATGAAACAGCAGCTGTTGACAAATGATAGCAATTTGTTTCTCCATCAATACATTCACAAACCAAACACATCTATCCATTTATTTATTCCCCCACCAATAACCATGCACCCAAACACCTATCTGTTCAGATCCCTTCATCAGCCTTTCTATTTTATCCATCCTTAAATCCATCCAGCTCTCCCTCCTTTTTTCCATCCATCCACTCATCCAATTCTTCTATTTATTCATCCCTCCCTCCCTCCCCCCCATCCATCCATTCATCCATCCATCCATATCCATCCATCTGTCCATCCACTTCTTCTATCCACCCATCCATTCATCCACTTATCAAATTCTCCATCTATCCATCCACCCATCCATCCACTCATCCTATTCTCAATCCATCCATCCGTTTATCCACTCATCCATTTCTTCTATCCACCCATCCACCCATCCACTCATCCATTTCTTCTATCCACCCATCCACTCACCCATCCATCCACTCATCCTATTCTCCATCCATCCAATAAAATGTGTCTATTTTTATTGACATACCACAGACTGTCTTAGTTTGTCTTTTTCCAGTGCTGCCTCTTCTCTTTCGTGTACTAGATCTTCTTTTAGCTGGACTATGGAATCCTCTAGGTCAATGATCTGTTAAAACACAAACATTTCATCTTTAAGGGTCAATGATTTGGGGAAGGTGCCTCACATTTTTTCATAATAGCCTAAAAAAAGTTGTTATATAGTTTTTGAAATTCTTGTAAGAAGGCTATAACCCAAGATGTCCTCTTAAATCATGTACATCGTACTGATATTTGCAAATGTATTTGTACTTGTATCTCACCCTTTTGTACGTTTCTCTTAGCTTGTCTCTGGTTTCATTCAAGGTGATCTGCTTGCTGCAAGTAATAAAAAATGAATGAATGAATGAATGAATGAATGAATAAATGAATGAATGAATGAACAAATGAACAAATAAACAAATGAATGAATAGACAAACAAACAAAATTAATGATCAAATGAACAAAAAAATGAAGTAAGAGATGGATGAATAATGTGAGGTTAAGCATAAGTGTATGATTAAATAGCTTTGTACCTGGCCTTGTCAGCCATCTTCTGGTTGAGTAGAGCAATGATTTCGTCATGGCCTGTCTGCATATCATCCCGAACTGGCCTAAAAAKATAATATATGAGGTTCAAAAAAACTAAACAAGGAATAAGAATTGGATTACTAAGAGAGAAAAAAACACTTACTGGCAGGAAAACCAGAAAACAAAAGCAATCAAAACACAGGAGGAAAAAAGAGGCATAGCAAGTGAGGAGCAACTGCATCCCAGGAAAAATGGTAGATTGCCCCATTTGGTCAAGACCTTGCTATGCCAATGGARAGAAATAGTGGGGTAGAAAGAGGAGATGTAGGGGCATTTAGTATCATCACAAGGGCTTTNCTTCTATCCACCCATCCACCCATCCACTCATCCATTTCTTCTATCCACCCATCCACTCACCCATCCATCCACTCATCCTATTCTCCATCCATCCACCCATTCATCCACTCATCCATTTCTTCTATCCACCCATCCATCCATCCACTCATCCATTTCTCCTTCTATTCATTCACCAATTTTTTCATCCATCCATTTATCATACCACTGGTTCACCTACTCCACCCAACCACCAATCCATTTAAAACTTTTAATAGTAAAAAAGTCTTCAATTAACCTTGTACTTCAGCTCGTATATCACCAGGCATGTACTGTAGTTTATAGCGCAGCACGCTTGCTTTAATAGTTTCAGTTTCCAGCAATTCATGCAGCCTTAGCCTCTCTGCCTCCTGCAGAAAAAGACAAAACAAAACAAAAAGAAACAAACAGTTTTTTACATTAATTGTAAAAAAAGTAGAAATTACTAGATGAAGGTACCCTCCTTATATACCAACCCCTTGGAAATTCCAAWCCCCCTCCATCTACTTCATTTCCTGGAAAGATTTAATGAGGCGTTAATTAGGTTTTAATGCTTTTAAATCCTGACTCAAGACTACCCTCCCACTGTTTTCCTGTCTTTAAACCACATATATCAAAGACAGATAATAATCAAGCTGTCTGCAAACTCTATATCAGCTGTCAATAGACTAATCATTTATCATTAAGTCYGGCCTGCCGTGAGCCAGATAGACATAAAGATATCTTTTGAACGCAATATATTTTCCAGTCTGTGAAATCTTATCTCTGAATAAAGCCTGAGGCATCATTTAATTAGTCAGCTGGCGTAGGAGTAAATAGTCATCGCAATTAAAGCTTCAAACCTTACCAATTCCTTTACAGCTTGTATAATCTGTTTTACACTTAATTTTAAGTCGCCTTGTTCTTCATCTCGCTTTTTGTCTTTGATAGATTCATCTGCAATGAACAAAAGCAAAAATATTGCGTCTAAAGCTYCATCTGCATTAATTATTGATCCGAAAAAGAGTTACTGTAATAATTTCAACAAAGAAAGAGAACAACAACATTGTCCAACTSACCCAAAATTTGCAGTTTTTGAACAGCACTAGTGACTAATCCGGCAAGTTCAGATGACTGTGAGCGYTTAGAAAGCATGTTTGATAAGTTTCTGCAGCAGATTTCTAGATACTAGGCTATATTTTAGAGTAAAACAACATCAAAAGTTTGTTATGGTAAATGTGTCCGCCATCTTGAAATGTAAACTTACACGGTAACCGCGGCAACRGAACTAAAAGAATGGGAACTAGTCTGCATGAACTAAGAGGGAGGTAGAAGTTTACAATTTGTTCCCAAAATATAAAAAAATGGAGAGACAATTGTCATTTWAAAAAACTTAATTTTTAGCTCGAGAAAGCTTAAATAGCAAGTTAATAATTGAAAAGTCATATTYCTACTTAAGTACATGTTTTTGTACGATTTTTTTCAAGGTTCTTTTATCGATACAAATAGCTGTTTCTCTCCCTCCCCTCCCTAYGTAATACAATTGTTGTTCTTTCGAAAGGAGGCTTGATCAAGAAGAGTCAGGAAGAAAAAAGGAAGATCAAAATGGCTGCGGATTCAGAATTTGTTTTCGATGCTGTAATCGGGTTTTTAACGTCCCCCATATGGAACACTCCTGTATTAACCTTCGTAGAAGAGAAATGCTTAGGTAAGATTACTTCATCCTTCACCATTCGCGATAAAAATACCTTGGTCTGCGCTTGAGTTAAAAACCTCATTCTTCTCTCAACAGCTGTACTAATACCACCGGGTGCTTAAAAATACTGACCTTATGTTTTCTCTTCTTGACAGTCTTTGATCCCGACAGCGAGGCACACGATACTTATACGGAGATTCACTTGGAATATAAAAACATGGTAGATATTTTTCTTACCTTTTGGAATCGAAGTTTTTCGGGAATATAAACGAAGAATTATTTTTTATTCTAATCCCCGAAGCGGTCATATTCGATTATACACCTACTTCAATTCAGCTATATTTGCGACTATTGAAGTTTTGTTTTCCTAATAAAGCAAATATGAAAAAAAAAAAAATTTTACCAGTGGATAGGACCGAAGTTTGACAACTTGTCGGAGTTTTTCTTTGGATTTTATATTCATGTTTATTTGCTCTTTATAATTTTTGACTTTCGTCCAAAATGCGAGTCTTTCCTGAAATGTTTCTCACATTTCTTTTAGGACTTGGGATTTTGTTCTTGACATTAGTGACAGCCGTTTAATACTTTTTGAAATTTTTATTTTGTTTGAGAGAGAAAGAATATAATAAAAAAATGTATCAGAAGTAATTTTTGGAAATGAGAAACATGGAATTATATGAAATAGAAATAATTTCTTTTTCAAAAGCAAAACCATAGAATTGTTTTGCATGGGCCATGGCCAGTCTTTTCTCTTAGATAAATAAATAAATCTTTTTATTTATACATGGTAGGCATATAAATTAAGCTAAGAGCTTGTGGGGCTGTGTACAGGGGCGGCGGAACCGAGGGGGACGGGGGGAGATGTGCCCCCACCAAATGTTTTGGGGGGGCCTGGCCCCCCAAAATATATTAGTTCTTAGTCATTGTTTTACGGCGCATGCGTCTGCAATTAAACAAAACATTGTCATTATCACATAGCGTTAAATATAATCTTCAGTGCCCCCCCCCCAAATTTTTAGCTTCCGCCGCCCCTGGTGTATCCTCCATACACACTCCTTACTACATTCGAATATTTTATACACACAACTCCCAACTCACATGTTGATTTTTACGGAG